CCGTTAGCGAAAACCTCTCCAAAAAAAAAAAAAAAAAAAAGAAAAGAAAAGAAAAAAAGAAGTGGAGCCTTTGTGGGGCTGGCAGGTGGGGTGGTGGTTAAAGGCACTGGATTCCCACAAGGCTGACTGTGGTTTGAATCCTGAACTGGGTGACTTGCTTTCTCACTTTCCCTTTCTCTCTCTGGCTCTCTTTGGTCAAAGTAAATAATAATAATAGTAACAAATGGAAATAAATAAAGAAAGAATTCTTTAAAAAAGAGAGAGAGAGAGGTGATTAGAATTGGATATGGTTATCGAGGTGGGACCCTCTGTCTGAATAGTGGTGGGTTTATAAGGAGAGGGAATATGACCAGGGAAGAAAGGGACACAGACATGCATGCTCTGCTCTCCTGCTCTCTCACCGCGTGATGCCCTCTGCCATGGCATGCATTAGCAAGAAGACCCTCATAAGATGATGACTTGGAACTTTAATCTCCAAAACCATGAACTAAATAATCCTAGGGACCAGCAGGTGGCATGGTGGTTGAGACTGCTGGATTCCCACCTGGCTGACTGTGGTTTGAGTCCCGGATCCAGTGGGTTTAAGATCAGGTTGTGCATGTGTGCATGTGTGCATTTGTTCCCAAAACCCAAGAGGAGAATGAAAGAGAAGGGAGGAGAAGGGATTATAGTGTGGCCGCCCCCCTAACCCCCTCCAGGGGGTGATTTCTCACTTTCTGTATCTGTTTCTTTCCTCTCTATTGAACACATATGAGCCCTGTGGCAAAATCTAAAAATAAAATGAGATAAATAAGCCAATATTCTTTAAAAATTACTCAGACTTGGGTATTTCTGTTTTTAGCCCAAGGTTATGTATTTTTCCTACCTAGGGCTGGTGATCTAAAGATTGTGTAGGGTCAGGGTGTCTACTTCTCTCCAAAACAGCTAAATAAGACAGTAACCAGTTCTTTTTTCTTTTCTTTTCTTTTCTTTCTTTCTTTCTTTTTTTTTTCTTCTTTTTTGAGAGAACTCGCATAGCATGGCCCCTCTCAATATATTGCTACTATATAGAAAGGGTAGTTATAACATTGTAGATGACAGGTTGTTTTGCATCAGTCATGTTGAAGATATGTTCTTGAGAATTTCCCGTTCTGTTGACTGTTGACCTTTCGCAAATATTTACACATTATCTTAAAGGATCATGACTGCAGAAAACTCAGCCCACTTATTGTGTAGCCTCTTCCCCATCCTCCTAGTTTTATGCTAAAAGGGTGGAGTGCTACGCCCTGTGCTCACAAATGTGGAGACATCTTGCTTTATTTAGCACCTTAGATAACTCTAGTGCATTGTCAGAAGCTCTGACAGAACTTAGCCCCTGCAACTAACTAGCTAGTTACCTGACCTTGGGAAAGTAGCTAACCTCTGAAATGGCTACTTATAAGACAGATACTTTCTTACTGATTTGGTGAAGGTCAAATATGATAGCATGTGTAGGTACTTTGTTTACAGTGTAGCACAAACGTTATCTTCTATGATATTTTTTCTTCCAGTTGTAATGATCTGTTTTTCTATTTCTAATTTCTTCTCTATGCACACTGTTCTTTCTGAAGCTGATGAGTTCATTTTCTTTTATCCTTGTTCTATTGTCTGTCTATTCATGTCCTTCTATTCTCATTCAATTACTTTGTGCACCGTACTCGTTACAAAGATTCCTCTGTGGACATGGTTTTCACACTGTGTTCTCACCTTCCTCTGACTATATGACTTACCCACTGATCTCCTTAGTTCTAGCCAGTAGAGTGCTGTAAATGTTAACAGCTTGCTCTCTGAGAAAGAAAAGAAAATTTCCCGATTTGTGGCATTTGTGTTTCCATGGTATACATATTCTTGCCATGATTAATTTTTTTCTTTATTTTTTTTTACATTTTTTAAAATACATTCATTCACATTATTTAGCTTACAAGGTGATCATTTCAATATGTGAACATTTCTCCCCGATCCAGTTGATCAAAATATAACAACACTACCTCCCTGTCTCAACAATGCTGTCTTCGTATCCCTCCTCCAAATGTTTATCCCCAAGCCCCACTCCTCCACACACACCACATCTGGCATTCACACCCCTCTCTTGTGTTTGTACACCCTTTAGCCCATCAGTTTCAGTTATAGAGTGCAAAACTCGGTATATATTAAGTGCGGACATAGAGTGTCTCTCCTTCATAGCCTGGCAAGCCTTGATGAATTTTAAGAATGGCTCTGTTCAACAATTAGTTGTCAAAGTTACTGGAAATTTAGCAATGTGTACTCACAAGTCTATGCACCGCCGGCTTCAGCACATCACTGGTTCTAACCAAACTAGAGTGAGAGAGTATGTTGCTTAGAGCTGCCCTACACACTTCTGTCTTGCTGCTTGGAGTTCAGCTTTTCACAATATCATGTATTTGTCATATAGCTCCAGAAAGAGATTCCTCATGGCTTCTTCTTATATGGCAGGTTGTAGTCCAGAAAAGCAGAACATACTGGCTTTTCATTCTCAGATCTCCTAAGCACTTATCTGCTTCCTTCTTCACTATACTAATATTACTGAGTTCTCTATGTTTAGAATTTGCTTAGTTTCACTATTAATGTTTAAGCTTCTTTTTTTTTTTAAAGTTTATTTATTTATTTGTTTTTCTGTGAGAGAGGGGAAAAAGAAACAGGAACCACCAACAAGGGTCTTCATACCACAATCCACCTCCAGTCCAGATCACAGACACACTTACACACAAACACACTTGCAGTGCTCAGGGAGGTCCCAGGGTATGAACTCAGGACCTTTCCCATGTAGGTCTAGTTGCATTTCTGCTGTGTCACCAGCTGGTCCAATTAAATTTATCGCTCTCTCTTTTTCTTTTCTTTTACCTCTTGGGTCTTTCAGCATGCACACACATGTGCTTGGTGCAATTTTCAAGCTACCAGGTCTAGGACTTGAACTGCACAGTCAGCCATGTGACATCCAGCCACTAATCACCACACCACCTGCTGGCCCCCAATTAAACTTCTTGAGGGAAAAGTGGGATGTACACTTTTCTAGTTCCTGATTATCTTACATGCAATTGAACTCAATGATTTATTACTGCTACCGATTTTGACTTTCAATGAAGTTACATTCTAGAAACTCAAATCTTAGGCTCTCTTTAATTGCTATCACATTTATTACATATAAAATAGCCGTCCCATGCCAATCTTGCCTGCTCCTCCATCCCCAAAGAGGAATGACTTGATCAATCATTATGTCTAGGATGGTTTCAAAAGCATTAGTTTGTTTGAGATATTTATTTCAACAAAGCTGACCTTATTTTCCCCATCATTTCTCCAGGTGCTAACGGATGGGCGTTTGGTAAACAAGAACGGATCATCTGAGCCTATCTTAACACTGGCATTGTTTGGGAGGTGGTTCACAAAGGACGCAGTTCCCAACTCATGTGGGACCAGCAATTTAGCAATGACTTGTCTGCTAATACCAATATTCTTAATGTTCATAGCTTTGTAAAAATGTTGTAATGCAATAGGACATCCCTTTATCACATCAATTTTTGAATCATATATTTTGCTAAATGTGTCTATGGGTTACCATGTTTACGAAGATAAATGGAAGGGCTATCTCAGTAGTAGAGACCAATGATTCTTAAATATTTTATTTTTTTATCAAATATTCACATATCAATGTTCTTAAGTATGATGGTGATTTTTGCCTCCTCCCCTTTGTAACTACTTTGGCATGTTGCAATGTAGTGTAATGGAAAGAACATGGGTGTTCGGGTCAGGTAAATGAGGATTAAACCCAAGCTCCAGCCTTATCTGCTGTGATACATGCTGTACCGTGTACGTGTGCAGGAAAGGGTACAAAGTGAAGTTTTGGACCAATGTAAACAGAGATGTGCCCTTGAAGAGAACAGTAAGGATGGACATGGAGAGGTTTATGACTGAATTCTCTGCGACATAAAAGACAACTGAACTCACATGGTGTTCTGGGCTGCTGACTTGAGTACAGTTGTTTTTCTCCAGTCACGTGGTAATGTGGAAGTTTACCTCGACAGTGCAAGTTGTTCTGAGATGTGCTAGAAGAAAGGACAGCTAGACCAAGTCTCTATCAAAGGAGGTCTGGCCCAGGCCATTCATAACCCTGGACTGCCCCACCTGAAAGCAGAAAACTCATAACACAAAGACCATGGCAGTTAATGTTAACACGATTCCCAACACTGGGCAGCCTACTTTTTTCGAAATCTGTACATTTCATTTTACTTGAAATTTAAGAGTGTATTGCTACTGATCATTTAATATAGATATTCTTAAAATTAAAGAAATGGTTTTGAATTTTCAGATATGATATCTCCAAAATTATTTCAAGTTCCAAACTTTTACATTAAAAAAAAATCACAATTGGGACACATATGTTTATTTATTTATTTATTTATTTGGAGAGGTTTTTTTGCTGTAGGGTGCATGCACTTGCCAGACAGATAGAGAGAGACATAGAGACAGAAAGCGAGAAATCACCCTTCAGGGGGGATGGTCACGCCGCAATCCCTTCTCCTCCATTCTGCTCTCGGGATCTTGGGCACGCACGCACACACATCTGGCGTGAATTTTAAGCCACCGGGTCCGGGACGCGAACCACAGTCGACTACGTGGGAGTCCAGCAACATAGCCATTACACTAACTGCTGGTTCCTGACATATGTTTATTTTTATATATGGTCTGATATCTACTTACAGATTCAATATGAGTACTTTACTAAATGCACCAGGAAATTAACACTATTTTTATGGTCTAGTGGTTACTATAAAGAGAAGGGATATGGAGGGTAAGCCCATCCTATGTTTAATTTTGAGAAGAGCTTATAAGTTCCTTGTGTTCAACACTGGAATAACAGATAGTAGTTTTAAAGCTGTGGTGACTGTATATTGTCCAAATCACATAATCTTTAAAATTGTGTGTTCTTTTGTCTTTTTATAAAATATGAAACATTTCAGGCTTGCCAAGTTTCATTTGAGGAAGTTGTGTGTTGGTTGTGTTGTGTCTATTGTGACTCCTGAGCAATGAAGGCTCACTTCCAGACATTTCCACGTTGACTAGAAGTCAGCAACTGACCTTGAACCCATTGGTTTGGTAAAATATAAGCAGGGGGCCTTCTAACAGATTCCAAGGGACAGTTCTTCCTCTGATTTCAGCATCGAGTTGTCAGCTTTGTCTCAATGCAAAAAAAAAAAAACAAAAAAACAAAAAAACAAACAAACAACAACAACAAAAAACAAAAGCACTGGGTCAGCAGGTGGCATGGAGGTTAAGACGCTGGATCCCACATGGCCAACTGTGAGGTTCAAGCTCTGGACCTGGAAGCTTGAAAATCACACCAGACATGTGTACAGGCATACTCAAGATCCCAAAAGGAGAATGAAAGAGAAGGGATTCGTGCCTAGGTAAATGTGGCCATCATTCTCTCTCACATATACACACTTGCCTCTAACAAAGGATTTCCTGAAAATACATGTGGATATAAAAATGGTAACAACTGTGAGGGAGATTTCTTAAATACACAGCTAGAGACAGGAGGTACTTGGAATGGAAAGGAGATAATTTAACCATCTCTTAGAGAAATTCCAGGTCATTCGAAGGTAAGTGAAAGGAGAAAAATGTAAGGAGGTGGGTTGAATGATTTTAATTTACTTGTCTTCAAGAATCACATGACATTTTATTTTATGTAAATAGGATTGAGCATCACTGATGACAGCTTTGGTGGTGAATCACCCAGGGCTAACCAATCACAGACCAGGCCTGCTGGGCCTAGAGATCTATGCAGGGCTCTGCTTATGCCTAAAGCCAAGTCAGTTAGAACCCTCTTTAAGACTTCAGATTTAACAACTCCAAAATGACTGTCTTTCATGATCAGAGGCACACGAACATGTATATCTGGAGTCTCCAGGAGCCATATTCACTGAAAACTGAAAACAGCCTGTGTCCAAGGATGACAAAGGAGAGTGTAGCCACAGAGCTCTGGAGACATGTCAGTACCTGGACCCAACTGGAGGAAGCAAGTACTCCACTGGCCTCCCTAGTTCTGTGAGTTGAGAAGTCTCATTTATTGATTTATTTTTTGCTCAAAGTGTTTTCAGTTGGATTACCATCACCCCGACCAATGCACTTTCTGATTGTTATTATCCTTTTGTAATTCTGCATGGTGAGTTGCACAAGACCTCCCAACACCAAGACTCTGTGTGTGTGTTTTCTGGGGCTGGACAAGGTGTTCTAGATGCTTGGTACCACTCTTCTGCCAGGAGTAAGCATAATAACCTCAAAAAGGCAGAGCGGGCAGCAGTGTTTCCATGGTGGACAACGTGTACCTTTTGTCTTGTGGTGGAAACAGGAAGAGGGAGGTTCTTCTGGACCCAAACAAACAGCCTGCTTGAAGTTTAGAAATACCAAAGCCTTGTGGGGTTTCTTTATGAAATGTTCCCTTATTAAAGAACAAAAGTATATTCCAAGTTATTTTAAACATTTTCATGTTTCTGGAATAGAAATATATGAAGGATTGCATAAAAATCGGGATTCGTGCCTAGGTAAATGTGGCCATCATTCTCTCTCACATATACACACTTGCCTCTAACAAAGGATTTCCTGAAAATACATGTGGATATAAAAATGGTAACAACTGTGAGGGAGATTTCTTAAATACACAGCTAGAGACAGGAGGTACTTGGAATGGAAAGGAGATAATTTAACCATCTCTTAGAGAAATTCCAGGTCATTCGAAGGTAAGTGAAAGGAGAAAAATGTAAGGAGGTGGGTTGAATGATTTTAATTTACTTGTCTTCAAGAATCACATGACATTTTATTTTATGTAAATAGGATTGAGCATCACTGATGACAGCTTTGGTGGTGAATCACCCAGGGCTAACCAATCACAGACCAGGCCTGCTGGGCCTAGAGATCTATGCAGGGCTCTGCTTATGCCTAAAGCCAAGTCAGTTAGAACCCTCTTTAAGACTTCAGATTTAACAACTCCAAAATGACTGTCTTTCATGATCAGAGGCACACGAACATGTATATCTGGAGTCTCCAGGAGCCATATTCACTGAAAACTGAAAACAGCCTGTGTCCAAGGATGACAAAGGAGAGTGTAGCCACAGAGCTCTGGAGACATGTCAGTACCTGGACCCAACTGGAGGAAGCAAGTACTCCACTGGCCTCCCTAGTTCTGTGAGTTGAGAAGTCTCATTTATTGATTTATTTTTTGCTCAAAGTGTTTTCAGTTGGATTACCATCACCCCGACCAATGCACTTTCTGATTGTTATTATCCTTTTGTAATTCTGCATGGTGAGTTGCACAAGACCTCCCAACACCAAGACTCTGTGTGTGTGTTTTCTGGGGCTGGACAAGGTGTTCTAGATGCTTGGTACCACTCTTCTGCCAGGAGTAAGCATAATAACCTCAAAAAGGCAGAGCGGGCAGCAGTGTTTCCATGGTGGACAACGTGTACCTTTTGTCTTGTGGTGGAAACAGGAAGAGGGAGGTTCTTCTGGACCCAAACAAACAGCCTGCTTGAAGTTTAGAAATACCAAAGCCTTGTGGGGTTTCTTTATGAAATGTTCCCTTATTAAAGAACAAAAGTATATTCCAAGTTATTTTAAACATTTTCATGTTTCTGGAATAGAAATATATGAAGGATTGCATAAAAATCACCCATGTTTCCACAGCCCAGTTCATGCAATAAGACATTAAGTCAGCAGAAACCTCTATACCCTCTTCCATTTCATTTCCCCCCTCTGATATTCACCATCTAATATTTTATCTAATACATACACTTTGTTCATCAAATACCCATTTAGCCAAAGCTCTATATTAAATGGTCTTTAAATAACTAATATAGGGCCAGCTCCATGGCCTAGCAGTGCTGCTCAGGAGAAGCTGGATCCCAGAGGCAGCCCAGGTTGGAATCCTGGGCCTAGTCAGCCTGAAACATGATGGGCACATGTATGAGTGCCCAGGATCCTGCAGACAGGATCTGGCAGGTTGGAGGACTGGAAGAAGAGGAGCACAGTGTAACCAGACTCTATGGAGGATTCTCACCTCTCTCCCTCACATGCTCATGAATCCATTCTATCTTGAAAAAAAAAAAATAAATAACTAGTGTGGATTTTATTTTATTGGTTGCATTTTGCCTAACAAGATGGGTAAGACATTATTCATTGGTCTACTTCCCTATTGATAAGTATCGTGAGAATGGCCAGACCTCCTGGGAATTGTGGGTAAGTTAGAGGATATACTAACAAAGAAAATGAGGAAGCAATTCACTGTGGTACACAGTCAGACCATGCATGCTGCCATGGCCGTTCAACCAGCCATTAGTAAGAGAGCTCCATGCCCATTGTTGGACTTTCTCTGACTTGTGTGTTCTTCAACCCATGAAGGCTACCAAAGCTAGGAACTTGGGGTGCACCTCTGTGAAAACACAGGATTGGGGGCCACTTGTATCCTTGATCTTGAATATGTGCTTTGTGGTATTTACATAATTTCTCAGTAATAAACTGAACCAAGAAGCAATGTCAGCTGACTCAGAGTCAGCTGACAAATTATGTAAGTACATTTTAATAATCTTTGTCTCTGCAGTTGTCTTTGTGGTTTGGTCCAGTTCAACAG